AAGTTAAATGAATTTCTTATACATAGTTATAATTTTGAGCAAATTATTTGAATTCTTCTTTTAAAAGTAACCTAAGAACTGAACCTAAGATAATTTGACTAACCTAACTTACTAATATTACCTATAACCTTTGTATTAGGATGATTTTATTTGATTCATTCAATAAACAATACAATGTAAACTAACAACCAAACCTAAAATAACCTAGCATAATACCTAACCCAACTTACTTATAAAATTATTATCAAATACTAATGATTTTGTTTGAATGATGGAATATCTAAAATAACCTACCCAGACAATCAAACCTAAAATTACCTTAAATAATTTATCTTAATTTTTATGAAAGTGATAGCTGTGAGAGTCAGTACTTTTGTTACCTAAACTAACCTAACAACCAAATCATAAAATACATGAAATTATGAATCTAACCTATAAACTTTGTGAACATCTGTGATGGTGAACGTAGAAATATGTTCAATACAATGAAGAAAACAAAATTGCGAATGCAAATACAATTCCACTTATGTATTTTCCATGCATTTCGGATTTACATATTTCTTGTTAATATTACTTTTCAACAATTAAATTTTCTATTTAAAGGTATGTAAATCTGTTAAACTATTTCAAAATATTATAGTTACCTTAACTTACCAAACAAATGATAAAATAAATCAAATTATGAATCTAACCTGTAAACTTTGTGAAAACCTGTGCATTTGTTTGTATATTTAATTTCTATGACAGCTGTCAAAAATCAAGTTAGATGTCTTTTTTTATATATTTTTGTACAAATAATTGGTATTAAGTACGAAATAATACAAATGTATTTTTTTTGTTAATTTTTTAATCCTAGTTATTTTTTTAATTAAACCATTTGCAAAAGGGTGAACGTAGAAATATCGATACAATGCGAAAAAAAATTTTTCGAATGCAAATACAATTAAATTTTTTGTTTAATAGTTTGTAATTTTGTTAAACTATTTCAAAATCCTTTAGTTACCTTACATCCAAATCATAAAATACATCAAATTTAACCTAAAAACTTTGTGAAAATCTGTGCATTTGTTTAAATATGTCATTTCTATGCGAGTGACAGCTGTCAAAAATCAAGTTAGGTGTCATATTTTTACATAGATCTAATTTTGTATAAATAATTAGTATTAAATACGAAATAATACATGTACGCCACCCCTTAAAAAAATAACACTATGTATGTATGTATCTACTCTTAATAAATACTTTTAAACTTCAAACTAAACTACGAAATAATGCATATACATGATAATCTTTTTAAAAAAAAATTAAATCCTAGTCATTTTTTTAATTAAACCATTAGCAAAAGGGTGGACGTAGAAATATGTTCGATCCAATGAAGAAAAAAAAATTTGCGAATGCAAATACAATTCCACTAATGTATTTTCCATGCATTTCGGATTTTCCTCCAGGGATTCGTGCGATGCAAAAATATATTTGTTTTTCCTGGTGCCACCATCTGCATACGCGTCCGTAGAGCGAACGTCAGTTATTCTCTAATTACTTTCAGTACAGCGCGACATAAATTCCGATTCCATGACGCCGTCTGCTAATTGCGCAAATTTGTTCAGTTTTTTTTTTAATTGGAAGGACACAAAAAAAATACGTTTCTTCAAATCCCAGATTTCATCTTAAACTAACGGAATTCCATTGATTCTGTTAACAGATTGTACAAATTTAAAAAAAATTGTTTTAACGGATTCTTCGTAAAAGAATTGTTAAATTTGCTGCAGAAGTTTCGTTGCTTTTGAAAGACGATTTTTCTTGGAGAATTACGTGCAATATTCTTATTATGTATTCGGTTTCTTTCTCCCTTGGGGAGAACGAAAGAAAGAGAGAAATGTACGGTCGTAATGCAATTCTTTCCGGTTTAATTATAGAAACTGCGGCGGACGGGGATTCCCTTTGAATAGTAAACCGTGCTTATTCATCGGCGATGGAAAAACGTGACTTTGCCAGGGTTCCGAAAGAACAATCCTTGTTTTTCTCTCGTCCTGCTACGCAAATGCATTATTTTATTCGCTCATGCTCGAAACAATATCTGCGATCATCGGTTTCATGCTTAGTCATATATTCTTTGAATGCGTTTTCATTCAACTTTTTAGCTATATAGTGTGCGAATTATTTACGTCGTCTGGTTGCTCGTAAATATTATTATTATAAACAAAAATAACTCATAATATTATTTACGAGTCATTGATAATGGATTATCTTGGGAAAAATGTGTTCGTTCAAGATTGATTGCAATGACATCATTTCAACAACACAACAATTTGCACTTGAAATAGATTTCAACGTTTTTTTTGTTTGTTACGATTTAAATTTGTACTAAGATCATTTAATACTAGATCTACCGACACTTCTTGTACGTAGGACAGGTTACATATGTGAAAAATGTACAAAACTTTGAAAACAAATTGACCGATAGTGGTAGGTTAGGTTAATTAAACAACTGAATTTAATATTTTTATATGAAGTGCATTCATTTTTACATAATAACATTATTTTACATTTCAATTTCAATATTTCATTAAAAACAAATAATTCAACAATTTTATATTTTTTTGTAATTTTAATTTATATTCATTTTCACTGTACGAGTGAAAGTCTACTATATAATGCAATTAATTAGATAATAATAGTACCTTCAACGTAAAATTAATTTGACGTTTTTGATGTTATTTAAGTTTGTATCAATGTTTCATTAATTGAAATTAGTAATACAAATATTGATTCATATTCATGATAAGAAAGATAATATTGATGATAAAAACGACTAGATTCCATTCACTAATTGTTAATAATAATTTTATATTTTTATAGTGAAAATTTTCAATATAATCTATGAACTAACAATTTTTTAAAGAAATTATGTTTAAGCAAAACAAATACAGAATATTTGCAAATGTTCCATTCCATAGAAAAGTCATTCAGTTGAAAATCTTCAGAAAAATCTGGTATTTTATGACATATCATAAACAAGATTTGTATTTTCACAAGATTTGTATTTAGAATCCTCTAGTATTGGCAAGTAAAATACATAAAATTTGGGCTATAAATATAACTTAGCAACATTTTAACAACTTTAACATTTTTAGCCACATTTTACATCATATTAAGAAGTTTCTAAAAAATGCAATCACAGTTGTCTTAAAATTGATTATAAATATGTAAGTTTTTGATTTTAAAATTAATTCTACGACAATATTTTAATTACAAATGTTTCTAACAAAATCATTTTTTACCATAGATTCTATTTTAAATTCGAAATTAGCGCCCCACGTTGGGCGTCAAATTTTAATTTTTAGATTTAGTTCAAATTGCGACAATGTTTCAAATGTAATTATTATATAATATTTTTTATAACAGTTTTTTTTTCGTATAATATAGAGAATTTTCTATATTTTCAAGTAATATTTTGTAAATAATTAATTAATTACATTTTTTATTGGAACATTTAAGTACATCGCTTTAGAACTTAGCTTAAATTAGTAAATTTTACTTTGATAAATGTTTCTAGATAAAGATTTTAAATGTTAAATAAGCTTAACGGGATTAATTAATAAGTTTCTAGAAAAAATTGTGAAATAATCTGTATATTAAAACTATTTTTTTTAAAGTTATATTTTCATTTCCGATTTTCCTACTAATATATATAGTAATACCTCGCATAGTCCGGTTTGAAAATTTAAAAACAAACTATAGTTTTATATACAAATTATAGTTATTAATCCTCCTTTTTACGTATGTAGTTCTTCGATTAGTCCGGTTTCAAATAGTACGGTATATTGACAGAATCGATTATTCGGACTATGCGAGGTAACACTAATGTTTTACATAAGAATTATACGTATTTGTTAGGATGTCTCTTTTTCTTTTGCGTATATTTTTTGTATCACCAATTCAACAATTTTTCACACCGCAAATTGCTTAACTTTAAATCAATTATCAGATAGACAACATTGTTTTCATTACTTCTTATAAATTGATAGATAAACTAAATTTAGCCCAATAAATAATTGAAAATAAGTATTTACAAAAATACATTTTTTTTTTGAAATGGAAACATTTAAAATTTGTTTTTCTTCTTTATTAATATTCCATTAGTAACAATTATAAAATAAGCAATGATGCAAGTTATTTATTTCGTTTACACTGTTCGTCCTCTTTTTTAGGTATGTAGTTTGTCGATTAGTCCGGTTTCAAATAGTACGATATATTGACGGAATCGATTATCCGGACTATGCGAGGTAACACTATTGCTTTACATAAGAATTATATGTATTTGTTAGGACGTCTCTTTTTCCTTTGCGTATATATTTTGTATCACCAATTCAACAATTTTTCACTCCGCAAATTGCTTAACTTTAAATCAATTATCAGATACATACCATTATTTTCATTACTTCTTATAAGTTGATAGATAAACTAAATTTAGCCCAATAAATAATTGAAAATAAGTATTTACAAAATACATTTTTTTTGAAATGGAATCATTTAAAATTTGTTTTCTCCTCTATTAATATTCCATTAGTAACAATTATAAAATGAGCAATGATGCAAACGTTCGCTTCTTCAAAAAAAGTTAATAAAAGAGAAAAAAAAGTATGAATATTAGAGAGTATAAAACAAAACCTATTTTTTTTTGTAACTGTTTTAGTTTCGCATACACTTTCGATGTACTACATTTCGATTAATCACACTTAATTATAGTCAATTCAAATGCGATTCGTTGAATGGAAATGCGAGTGCATCTAAAGACGAAGAAAACCTTTTTTTGTTCACACATGTTGGAATTAACTGAATGGAATCAATTGAGCGTTTCCATATTTTCCACACACTTCCCCTTAAAGAGAAGAGTCAGATCAATTGATCCCGTTGTCTCGTGACGTTTTTGGGAAATTCTGCGGCGCCTGATGCTGATTGTTTATGATTACCAGAAGGAACACTTCTGCATCATCATCATATAGACAGAGTAGTTAGTACTGCGGACCGCCCGTATCCTAAAACTTCGCACAGGATAAAAACTCAACGCGAGCCCGAACATCGGATCAGTTTCGCAACGGTACTTCGAAAGTTAACAACTCCGATGTAATAGTTTCCGAACATCAGACAGACTTCTTCTACGACACGAACTTACCAAAACTGGATTCGAGACACGAACGAAAAATTGTGCATTAATCATTCGCTTCTTTGATACATTTAGTTTACACCTACGTTCACTTCTCTAAGTAAGTCATGTATCTTTTAATTTATTTTATACATTTTTTTTTCATCTCGTTCCAAATTTATTTATAAAGATCAAACTAATATAATCTACTTATTTATAAACATTTTTTGTTTGTTTGTTTGAATTTAAATGATTCAAATTAATTTCAATTCATTTGAAACATTCATATTCAACAGTTTTTTTTGTTGTTATTCTTTGCTCTACATACAGTTCGGTTCTGCAAGAAATTTATATATAACAATGACTAAAAACTTTGTTGTTTGCTTACCGCATTCGTCGTGATCATTCTTACGCAAACAAATATTATTAATAACAATTTAAACAAAAAAGTAGAATAATTTAGATTACTTTTTTTTGATTTTTTTCGATGATTTATTAATAATAAAATCCGGATTAAGAATTTATAGATGTAATTTCAAAAAGATTAATTTAAATTAATTTATATACAAGGTTAACAACAATTAAAGTTTTGCTTCGAAAACAACAGAAAATTATATAAAAAAATTATTACAAAATTTTCAACGAAATACTAGTAAATGACAATTCAATATTTTGTATCAAATATGCAAGTAATTAAAGGAAAATATGTGTTACAGAATTCATTCATTAATTTTGACTTAAAAAAATAATTGATAATTTAATTTTTTGATAATTTAAATATTGGGTAAGTAAAAAGTTGTGAGCGTTTTGTCCCTTACATCGAGCTTCGTCTTGAGACCATCCTTATGCAAATGGTTCCAAACAGTTTTCTGGCTAATCTTCAGTTCATGGGTAATGGAATAAGTGCTCGCTTGCCGGTCCGACTCGGGGATTTCCATGATTTCATCAACATTTTCGACGAATGGTCTCATCTTCGACGTCCATATTACCAGAGCGGAAGCATTGGAATCAACGTTTTGCTTTTGCATTCGATACTGTATTGGGTCTATAAACATCACACATTTTTTTGGCCGCCTGCTCCGCTTTTCCCCTTGGTTTTAATGGTACTGAAGAATGAATAGAATTTTCTCTTTTTTACATCCATTTTGAAACGCTCTAACACACAACTGGATTCATTAAACACAAACCTGTCAAAGAACTTTTTTTAAAGTGTTATATCGCCTTTGAGCGTAGTATAGAATGACAAGATGCAACGTATACATCGTGAGATATGGCTCACCAAAGCCATCTAAGGAAAAAGGCTCAAAACTTTTTACTTCACCCAATATTAATTAAAATATGACATTTTAAACAGAAGCACAGAAAATTCATTTAAACTTTTTACATTTCATTTTTATATAATTTTTTTCTGAGAATAATTGACATTGGTAATTTGATAAAAAATTGTTTTGTTTTAATTAAGTGTAATTAAGAATGGTCGTGATATTTTCGCTAATAATAAAAAGCGTCATCATCGTTAGATATATTTGTTCTAAGTAGTATTAGTTAATTTCGAAACATTTCCATATATTTTTTTTCTGTAACGTGCGTTTACTTAAGTTTCGTCTCCAGACATGGGCAACATTTGTTGCGACACGAAAACGCAACCTTGATAACACCCAAACTGTACAAGAAGTTGACGAGCAACCTCAATCCATGAATACTGGAACACTTTTTACATTGACTCAAGATTTTCCTTATACAATTTATGTGTTGCGAAAATTTACATAATTGAATAAGAAATAATAATTGAATGTGAACGCTTTTGTTAAAAATCAATAAGTTAAACTATAATAAATTGTTTTTTTTTCATTGATCAACTAAATATAATTCAGTTACATTTCTTAAGTTCTTGATATTATATTATCAATGTTACAAAGATAATGATTGAAATGCATTTGAATCATGAACGTTTTTTTTTATTTCGATTAATCTACGTGGATTAATTCGATTCCATTTTTTCCGGATTTTCTTTAATATTTATGGAATTTCAACAATTAATATACATTCTTAGTCATTACTTATTTATTTTATTGGCCCCAATTTGCAAATATTATTAATTTTATTGATACTCATATTTTATAATGATAATAAATGTAATAATGTGTGGTAAATATCATGATATAAAAATATTTGACTCATCAATGTTTTTTCCCATCAATAAATATATATGTTTTTTCTTATTATCAATGTTATTTCATGTTTGGATTATTTCGTAAGATCAATTTCATCCGCATTCTTAATCATACTTATATTATTACAGATGTGTCATTTGTTTAAACTAAATAATCCTTTTATTGATTTCTATAATGCATGACTATTTTGATTGTAAAGACTTATTTGGAGAAGTTTAATTTATTAACAAGAAATTGTAAAAAGTAATTTATTCAAAAAAATGTCGATTTTAGGAAATAATCCGAAGTTATGACGAATTGAGACAAATTAACACAAATTTTAAAAGTTTGATCCAAAACACTTTTTTTTATTAAAGATTAATTTATTAACACGAAATTATAACAAGTAATTCTTTTTTTTTTGTAAAAAAATGTACCTCGAAGTTACAACAAATTGAGACAAATTAAGAAAATTAAATCAAATTTATAAAAGTTTCAGCGAAAAGACGTTTTTTTATACGTTTTTAATTAATTGAAAGGTAATTATGAAAAAAAAAATAGATTTTTTCTTGTAAATAAAATAAAATTGGAAAATATAATACTTTTTTTTTTTATAAAAAACGTATCATGATTATTGGAAATACTGAAGTTCCAATTAAGCGGTTCATATTAACAGGAAATTATGAGAAGTAATTCCTTTTTTTCTGTAAAAATACTTATTTATCTTGAGAAAATTGAGACAAATTAAGAAAATTAAAACAAATTTCTTTCATAAAATTCATATAATTCAATCTATTTAATAAATCCTCAATATTGAACTTATTAAAGACAAATGAATTGAAACATTTATAATATTATGTAATTTATATATTATTATAGTAAATAACTAATTTAAATACTTTCTGTAGTTAAATTATTATTCTAAAACTCATAATTCCAGACATTTATTTTTCGGCGTCAAAATTCAAATAAAACAAATAATTTATATCAGAATTGAGACAAATTAAGAAAATTAAATCAAATTTATAAAAGTTTAATTAATTGAAAGGTAATTATGAAAAAAAAATATATTTTTTCTTGTAAATAAAAACGTATCTCGGTTATAGGAAATACGGTGTTACGAAGTTTAATTTATTGACAAGAAATTGGAAAAGTAATATATTTTTTTTAATAAAAAACGTATCATGATTATTGGAAATACTGAAGTTCCAATTGAGCGAAAAGCCTTCTTTATTGAAGATTAATTTATTAACAGGAAATTATGAGAAGTAATTCCTTTTTTTCTGTAAAAAATACGTTTTTATCTTAGGAAATTCAGAAATACCTCGAAGTTACAATGAATTGAGACAAATTAAGAAAATTAAAACAAATTTATTTCATAAAATTCATATAATTCCTCTTCAATCTATTTAATAAATCCTCAATAATGAACTTATTAAAAAGAATGACACAAATGAATTGAAACATTTATAATATTATGTAATTTATATATTATTATAGTAAATAACTAATTTAAATACTTTCTGCAGTTAAATTATTATTCGAAAATTCATAATTCGAGACATTTATTCTTCGGCGACAAAATTCAAATAAAACAAATAATTTATATCAGAAATGTGATTAATTTTTTAATATATGGTAGTGATTTGATAAATACATAGTTTTTATTGTAATTTTTTATCTTAGATCACCAAAAAACTTTTATTTTATAAACAAATTATAAAAGCTTTGTCGGGGTATTGCTATATGTATTATTAATTATATTTTTATAATGCTCAGTTTTTGTAATATTTAATCAAAGTGACAATATTAGGATCCAATAAATGAAGAAGGTATGAGTAAATTGTATCAGTTTTCTTTTCGTTTTGACGCCAAATTCCTCCCCTAATGCATCTTCTTCAATACTTCAAATCCGCGTCGATTCAAATTGCTTCCAATTAGAAGAAACTGGAACGCACCGAGAGCGTACACGTAATTGAATAAAATTGGTAATTTTGGTGGAAATTCAATTTATTTGTTATTCGGTAATTAAAACAGCAACATGTTTTGTTCGGGGGTGGCGGTCGACGCAAGGGTGTGAGAGTAACGTAGCGTAGAGTAGAGGTGAGGGCCTGTGTTTGATGTACAATTAAATTAAATGCAATCTAAAACGTTATTAATCCCGCACGTTTTGTACAACGCATACGCAACACACAATATACATGTATATATATATAATGGCACGGTTAAATTTTAATTGGCATCCGGGAAATTGTAGGATTTCGGGTGGGCCGCATAATCCAAATAGCCGGGATTATATCGGAAAAGGGGAGAGGCGATGGCCAATGATGGATTTTTGGATTTCGGTGATGTGAGAGCGCGAGAATTGTGCGGCGCTTCTTGAATTCTGCAACAAATTACTGATCTGAGAGATCTAATATTCATCCCCCTTATTAATTACGAAAGTCGCAACAAGTTTTCGAGGTCAGAGTTCGAATCGCAGAAGTGGAATATTAATCGTTATCCTTCCACGAATTCATTACTCATCCCTTTGGAAATACCGAGAATTTGCAAATAGAAGAAATGGGACCAATAGACTCACAAAGTGAGAGATGAATCATGAGTAAAACGAGTAAAATTTATAATTGGAAATGATACATTAAAACCATTGAAAATTTAATTTATTCGTATGATTATACTGTAAACTAATCACAATTAATACAATTATTGGTTGTTAACATTATGAAACAATTGATTATACAATTAGCTTTAAGTTTAATTAAATTACAGAACAAAATTTAATATTTTATGATATTATTTGCACATTTAAATTTGTGCAAATCATAACGGTTTTTATAAAAGTTTGTACTTGCAATATTCATTTGCAATTTATATTTATAGATATTGAATAGAAGAGATTTAATACATAGGACATATATACATAAAAATATATTTAAATAGATTTTTCTTCATATAATTTGTAATAAATGAAAAAAAAACTATCTCAGAATTGGTCGAGACAAACTATTTAGTGAAGAGTAGACAAAATGTTGGTCAAAATGGATCAATAAGATAAATTGATTGAAGATAAATTAATATTTGGTATTGAAGATACAATTTAGAAACAAACAGAAAGTTGCTATTGATGCACAATAAGCCTCGATCGTCAATGAAGTAGAAAGACGAAGTTTATGGAATTTAGCTGTTTCGGTGTACAAACTCGTAACTTTGAAACTCAATTAATCGAACTTGTAACTTAATTCAAATATCTTGGAATTATAATCAATGACAACTTGGAAATTACACTATAAATGAAAATCAGTAAAAAGTATAGTATTAATTTAATTACTGAATGATGATAGTTTGAAAATAGGTTTTAATTTAGTTAATGAATATATTTAATAGTAAACTTCTGGCAGTATATTTTACATTTTTGTAATAAAACTTACTTAAATATAGATTATATTCAAAATATGTACATATTTATGTACAATCAAAAAATATATTTATTATAACCAAGGCGTTATAAAATTTCTTAAGAATTTGTTGATTTTAATTTAAACTCGAAGCAATCAGTAAAATTGGAAATAAGTAGTACCAAGAACCGAGCCTTGTGGTACTTCCCTTACTACAATTATTTGCATATAAAGTTGCATAAGCGAAGTCTCCCGTGTAATGAATAAGGCGTATATATCCGCCGCATGTCCGAAAAGGGTTAAACAACTTTTATTTCCATACATTTTTTGATTATTCTCATTGATTTATTCAATTATTCTCATTCTCTTATATTTGTAGATTAACTAGAAATAAGATATATTTTTTTGTAATTGAAACATTTAGATAAAAAATGTCTTGTTCTTTATGTTTCTTTATATTTATTTACGTTTCTTGTTTTATAATTATTAAGAAATATCACTACTTTAATTGACAGATCTTTAAGAAAATCATACATCAATTATTATAAATTTTGATAATATAGGTTTTCCATATCTTTGTTCACACATTTTATAGCAAAACATATGAAGAAATGTTTTTACTTTCATCAGTTGCTAAATTTTTAATTAGAAATTTTATAATTGACAAATTATAAGCAAATTTTTATATAAAATTCAGACATTCTTGAATACTGTTAGTATTAACAAACCATTACTGTATATATTTTTTATATTGAAGGATTAAGTCATCTGTTTTCCATATGTTGAACGAAATGCCTGCAATAAATAGCAGTGCACTCACTCACTACGAACGATGTCTGTATATATATTTTTTTTTCATTTTGTTTTCACTGAATTTCATGGAGACGACTGCGTTCGAAGAGAGCGTGCGGAATTCATTAGCCCGATGAATGCTGTTTTGCATCCGTTAATGTCGCATCGGCAGCTTTTGATTCGTTTAATTTGCAAATCACTCCCTGCACAGAAGGATGCATTACATGCGGCTGTTTACTCCACTCCGAATATCTAATTACGTCCGCGCTGTGTTATTCAGCAACGAATTAAATTCGGATTATCCTCAGTTTTGCATCAACAACAATAATTGTATTGGAACAACAAAAGTAAAGTTTATATATAAATTAGTGGATTTTGTGACAATAAAAAATATGAATATTATGGAAGTAATTGTATTTGGAAGATGTATATTTAAAGGATAATGATTATGTGTATTCTGCAATGCTTTGAATTAATCCGGACGAGAGGCGGATATATCCTTTTTATGAAGAAAATTGTGCTATGTAAAATTGTATACAAATGCAATCATCAAATCTTAGTGCTACTAGTCTTTTTCAGAAGGAGTTTCGTGTTATTGATAAACCTTTGTAATTTCTGTGAGTTATCAAAACACGTTATTACATAAACGTTTAGATTTTCACTGCGCTCATCCGCAACAGACATTATTTTACAACAATAATAATAATTGTATTGAAACAAGAATATTGCAATTAAATTAAACATTATGTAATGAGAGTTTATGTGGATTTTGTGTTAAAGCAAGATCATTATGGAAGTAACTATATCTGGGAGATGTAAATCTGAAGGATAATGATTACGTGTTCAATCTGTTCGTGCGAGGCGAAATCTGCGATCCGTGGAAAAGTCTTTAAAATGCAATTTCCATTGGAGCTGAAAAACGTTTAACGCTTAGGCGAGATTTATGCGCGCATGGGCTTAGGTTTTCAGGACTAATTGCGAAGGATATCCAGAACGTACTCGGGCGAGATTTATGCGGTGCAGCTTCCTAGGTTACAGCTATAACTCATGTATCGGTTATAATTGCGTCAGTCCTGGGACGCTGAGGGATCATGATTAAAGAGTGCCGAATCCTTTGGTTCATCTCTGCTAACTGTAATGCATCCATTTGGGAACGCTACAGTATGTTGTTACGTAACGAATCTAATTATTGAATAATTGGAATTGGATTCGTGGGATTACGCGAATCTCAAAGACTAGAATTTGGGTAATTGAAATACAGTTAGTTTTTATTTCCAACAAAAACGATTCATTTCATTATTACAACATTCCAAAATTGTCCTATTACATAAATACAATATAAATGATCATTAATCACTTTGGTTAATTAATCCGCTTGAAAATCTTAAAGTAAATTACGAAATAAAATTATTGATTAATTGCAGTCGAAAGATTATATCTTTTATAACCATGACATTTTCAGTTCTATTCAAATATTGTCTAATTAAATTACTTTGAATTATATCTGTTAATTGTAATGAATTAATTTGTGAATGTTAATTGTAAATTACTCAATAATAGAAAACATTATATGATTTTCAAAGATTTGGGTAATTGAAATGCATTTGGGTTTTGTTAGCAAGTCAAATATTTCATTTTCGTATACGAAATAATTCGGTACCATTCAGAAATGTTTCGATTAAATTTCGTAATATAAATGATCATAAATCAGTATCGTAATAATAGTATATAGGAAGTGTACATGCTATTTTATAGCAGACATAAATTTATATATAAACACCCGAATATATCTGAATGCAATATGTTACAAAACGCATTATGCAATTTGAAATATGCAAATTTTGAAATATCATTGATATGAGAACTTATTCACGCATTCTATTTTTATTTTACTATTTTAATTCTAAATATGATTTGTATATTTTTATACAAGTAGTTCTTCTCTGTTCTCAGTTGACAAATCTTTACTTTTTGTTACTCGCTTGGCGTCTGTGAGACGTCAGTGGGTACAATACCAACCATAACATTTAAATTAAACTAGAAAGGTGGGATAACCCCGATCTTTGTACCTTTTTCATACTGACTGACGACTTGTTAAAGCTCGTAACGTTATTTTCCAGTAATTAGATTCAAACGATAGTAGTGATAGAAGATATTTTTTACATTTCTATAAAATGGACATGTTTGGAAGCTAATATCTTTTATTTTTTCATCCTTAACGGAATTTTTCAGACGCCACGCGAGTAACGAAGTGTTAAACTAAGAGTTTTATATGCATTTTATACATTTCAATTTAGAATTAAATTAAGTGAAATTTGTGTTATCCTCTTTGCTTTATTGTCTGTTAATGTAGTAAGAATGTAGTTTAATTGGAATATATACTTATTATTTTTACTTGTCCAAACTTGTTACTAGACAAAAAGTGTAATGCTTTGAATTAAAATCCATTACGAAATGAGATCAAAACTCTGGTGAAATAAAAATATACCAATGCAAGTGGAAAGATCGATATACATGATTTTGGTTTTAGAATTAAGACTGAAATTTGATTTTAAAACCTTTTTGATATGTTGATTATTAAATTGGTGTTAAATGTAATATTGTTGTGAGATGGTTTTGAATGGTGATTTTATGTTTTGTTGCAGGATAATGGAGGTGGTGCGATTGGGTTTAGCGGCGCTGGTGTTAGCTAGTGCGACGTTCGGTACTCATCTCGATCAATACGTGCAGCAGGATGGCAGCGGCGGCACTGGAAGCGGTGGCGTTGCTGCTGAAGCAACAGATCATCCCTCCAATAGGCTCGACGACATCCATCATCATCGGTTCACGGCGCACGGCCCTCAACCGGAGTCCGTGCCGGAGCTTCAAGTTGGATGCGAAGGGGACGAGCAGAAGGCGACGGCGACGAAGAAGAAGGCGGCGAAGCGCAGACGTCGCGGTTTCTACGAGTGGCAAGGGACGGTGGTGCGGGCGCCATCGAACCCCAGCTTCACCGTTTGGCAGCCGCCCGTCTACCAGCTGAGCCGACCCTACTTCATCCCAGTTTGGGGTTCGGAGGGTCGCCTTCCGGTCTACTTCCCACCGCAGCCGATCCTCATCAACTCGCCCTACCCGCCGCCAGATCGTAAAGGCTACCTTCCGCCCAAGGGCTATCTTCCTCCGGATCCAGAAACTTCATCGACAACGTCAAAACCGATGAAGGGAGGCGACTCGATCATTCCGATAGTCGACCGGATCCTCGACGACGATGCGCCCATTTGGGACGTGGAGCCTGCAGCAGCGAAGCCCACGACGCCGGCACCATCGAACATGGTCCCAACTAGAAGGAGACGTCCTAATTCGAGAACAACTCCACCACCGTTGGTGCACAGTTCATCGAATTCGAACGCGAACAGTCTATCGCCGCAGCAGCAGAACGTGCCGCAGCAGATTAGGCCACCGCAGGAGAGACCTTCGGTGATCCCACCGCCGCCGTCTACACCACCTCGCCAGCAACCCAGCAGATGCGTCTGGGCCATCATATCCTGCTGCCAAGCCGGCACAGGCGAAGTCAGCACAAGCTGCTTCGAGCAGCTCGGGTGTCCAGGAGCTTTCTGGGACTCGAGCCCCTGCAACACTGACTTCGCCAAAGCGGCCATCGACGTCGCCATGAAATACTACAACAACAAGTAATTCTCTAACCCTAAGAGAATACCAAAAAAAAAGAAACAGACTCAAATCCACTTAATTTATTATTTATAATTAATCGTACATGTATATAATTAATTATCTGTGTGTAGCAATAGTAATATTATTCTTTATTTATACAACGCGAAGAGCGTCTCTTCGTGCATACATATATATTTTATTTTTATATTACTCTTCCCTTCGCAGCGAGGAACTTATTATGGATGATTATTATGTTTAAATATTAGTATTAGTATTATTCTATGTATTATTCTAAGTTTGTATTTCTAATAGAAAGTAACAACAGTAGCCGGCTTTTCTGGACAAGCCTCATTTTACTGTGTTGTATACGAATGAAATTCAATTAGAAATTTAGTGCAGAAAGACCGGTTCCGTGTGCGTACGTATCCCAAGGGTATGTTCGAAGTTTGACCGGCGGTTGTATTTATGTAAAAATATAAGGATTCAAATTTCATAATATAGTATTGATGTTCACTTTACTTTTTCATTTTTGCGCTGCATTTATAAAACGATAGATATGTTGTAAACTCTTTTATAGATGTATGTATTTTTTTTATATTTCTAAATAAAGGCAACGCCGAAATTGATCGTGAGACGAAAAAAGTCCTGTTTTTATTATAAAACCAACCCAACTCCAATTCTGCTATTTACATATTACTTTGAAAAGTTTTAGAATCACTGACATTTCAAGTGAAGAATAGTTCATAGTAGACTTTCATTAATAGTTATAACGTTAACAAATATGGAGTGTTTTATACTTCAGTTAAGTTTTATTAAAAAGATACAATTTCTGAATAAAAATAAATTAATATTTGGTATTTTCCTGACGAAAAAATAGATTTACAGTAAAGATTAACAAACATATCAAAGAGGAATATTTAAGTTTAATAAATAAGGAATAACTGCTTGTAAATTGATATTGTAACGAAGCAAACATCAAAGTTAAAGTTATGGTTAACAAAAATGTGAAGTATTGAAATATATAAAGAATTGATTTTTATATAATCAAAGGGTTAAACGTTATATTTTGATGCTACTCCTTTGTATATACAAAGCATTTAACTTCTTTGGACTTTTCGAAACATAATATAAACTCTCTTTAAAAACTGCTAAATATATGTCTTTTCATCATTTTGTATTTCAATAAAGGCAACGTTGAAATTGATCGTGAAACGAAGTCGTCGAGTTTTAATTGCAAATCAAACCCTTCTCCTTTCCCGCCCTCTTGACACAACGCAAACAGAACGCTACGAGCAAACAACGAGTAAAGAAATTGGAAACTTCGCTTTACAATAAATGAAATATATATATATAAAGAAAGAGAAAAAAAAAATAACATGATATGGACGTACGTATCCTTGATGTCTCCGACCTGTTACTTGTATAATCATTCGCAATCTAACACAGAGTTATTTGCAGTTCGGAAGTAAATTTTATTAAATACGTTTCTGCCACGTCAGCAGTCTAAAATGTCAACTGTCGTTGTCGTCGCCTTCTTGTTACTATCCGCAGATCCAAGATATATACGGAATTGTGTTTCACGTTTTCGGGTCGCGACGACGACGACGACGACTAATCCTGAGAACAGTTAATGCAGTTACAACAACTGGTGAACTTAAAACTCAATTACGACGAGAATCTAATGAGGACTTACTGCATAATTCAATCGTCGAATAAGTATTTATGACGAACGCAACGTTCGTATTTTAATCGAGTATCTGATATCTCCGAACTTCATAATCTCATTTTACTTTATTAATTTACACAACTATACAGTTTAATCAAAGAATTGTTTAGTACATCAAAATTATACATATACAAATGTAACAAAATTATGAACTTTCCTTTTTCAGTGTGTATTTTTGTTACATATTACCTTATATAGCCGATTAGTCCGGTTTCAAACAGTGCTTGATATATATTTTTGTACATTTAAATGAAAAGAGATTGGAATGCAGCGTAGAATTGATAAAAGGCGATAAATTTTATGATTTTATGATTAATAAAAAAACTGTCTGTGTCTACAAAAATGTAACAAAAAAATTGGCGAGACTAGAAGATATGTGCAGACGTCTGCAAATGTATTTTTTTGTCACCCATTGATAAATAATTCACCCAGACTACGTTTTTCTTTTTGTTATTCTCTTGAATAGTAATGTGTAGTAAACGTGCGTATTTTTTTTATACATTTTTCCGAATTTTAATGAATGAAAACATTGGAATTTACAATTTATTGTCGATTTTTTTTTTCATTCATGAAATATCGTCTATAATTCAACTTATTTATTTTATACCAGAATGCATAAATGAATTGGACTTTACAATTGTTAAAATTTATATCCGTGTTTCCCAAAATGTGTGAAAATTAAAGCCTTGTACAAATATTGGGTGAAGTAAAAAGTTGTGAGCATTTTGTCCTATACATCGAGCTTCTTCTTGAGACCAGCCTTATGAAAATGGTTCCAAACGGTTTTCTGGCTAATCTTCAGTTTCTAGTGATTCATGATTTTATCAACATTTTCGACGATTAACCTACCAGAGCGTGTCTCATCTTCGACGTAAATATTACTAGAACAGAAGCATTGAAACCAACGCTTTGCTGTTGCATTTGTATTGGGTCCATAAACAACAAAATGTTTTCCTCTGCTTTTCTCTTTGCTCGTGGTACAGAAGAATGTATCAAATTTTCTCTTTTTTTACCTCCATTTTGGAACGCTGTAACACACACCTGGATTCACAAACTGGAAACACAAAACTATCTTTTAAAGCGTTATGTCGCCTTTAAGTTGCAGTATAGAATGACAAGATGCAAAGTATACATCGTGACATTTGGCTCACTAAAGTCATCTAATGAAAACGCTCAAAACTTTTTACTTCACCTATTATATAAACTTAACTTAAATTTATTAAAATTATCTCATTCGTATTCTCTTTCATTCATAAATTATTACGTAATGTATAGTAAACGTGTGTATTTGAATATTTTCATTATAATTTCATTTATAAGTCTAATAAGTTTAGGGTAAAATGAATATTAAATTCATTGATAGTTTTTCTATATAGGCAACTTTACATTCACATTTTTCAATCTATTATTGATTCTCCATTACCTATCAAATTTTAAACTTTTTTTTTGATCATCACTAAATTTTAATGTTACAATTAGTAATTTAACTAATTAATGAAACTATAAAAACTTAATTATTAAGAAGTGATAATATACAAATATTGAAAATATTAATTTGTTACTGAAAAAAAATATTTTTCATGATTAATTTCATTTTGTGATTTACTTATATTTATACTTAAACTTTTCTTGTTTTGATATTATATAATCTGTATTCATTGAGTAACTTGACAACAATACTCTTCAAATATGTAGTGGAATCATATAGTGTATGTCAGCAGTGGCGCATCGAAAGTTCATCAACACGTAACAACGTCAGTGGATGCACATCTCGCGCTGAATACGTGATTACTACTACTACCACCACCAGTTCTTGGCATATCTCCAAAGAAGTTTTCGGATCCGAGGCGCAATTGTCAATTGGCACGTGACTACATTAGAAATCGTCAATCAATATTCGCGATTTTCTCTGCAATTAAAAAAACATAATAATAAAAAATTAAAACATAGAGAAAAATCTTTCAGAAAATCTACTAAAAAAAACATTCCTTAAAGTTGAGTAATTAATAGAAAACTTGAAATATTCCTGTGTAAAATTTATTAAAAATGAGTTAAAACTAAACTAATTAAGGGAAAATTGAAAAATTCATGTCTAAATTATTTCAAAATGAACTGACAAAAGTCACAGAACTATTAAGTATAGGAAAATAATAATAATTTATCTTGTAAGCAAAATATTTACTTTCAAATCTAGTTTTTGATCATTTTTTTTTTGTAAATTGATTTTATTGTTTAATAATTGTCAAAACAATTTCCAAAACTTAATTTTAAGTGATTCCTTTTCAAATGGACTTTCCAGGTCAATGCACAACTTATGTATTTTCCCAAATATTTGACCTTGTTTGATGAAGGTGAAATTTTATTGTTTCATAGATTTACCTTCGTTTTTTAGCCAGACAAGACGTGTTTACAGTCAGTGTACATTAAATACAATGAGTTTCAATAAAAAATTGATGATATATTGGATTTTCCCGAAAATTTAACATATTTTTTAGTTAGAGAAACAAACAGATCTTACGTCAAGGTATAAATTAAATGCAATGAGTTTGAATAAATAATTTTATGTTAGTTTAACTACAAAACATTATGAACTTAAAATTTATAAA